CCGGCCGTACATGCTGACTTACGCACCTGCTATAATCAGAAAGGACTATGATTATAATACCCCTCGTGCGTTAAACTGTCCTATGGTGCGTTAACCTGAGCACGCCCTATGGCCTCAGCCTCGCCAATAATAAAGACGTTATTATTATTATTATTATTATTATTATTATTATTATTATTATTATTATTATTATTATATACACGACATCGCGTCAACTGCTATGGTCATTATTTCCGAAAGTGTAGTGTATACTTTTTCCTCAGACGGTGCGGTGATCTTTCACATTGGATTGCGAGATCACGTGTCGAACTACCTGTCGGCTAGCGGAGTTTCCCAAACCAGATATCTCCTACCAACAGCTCACGCCCGCAGCTGGGGCAACCACTAAACTCTCGACGTGTGTGGCAATGTGGTGCATGTTTCTGTACGTATGTGTAAGTAAGGGCTCAGTTTAAGACAAGGAAGGGGATGGAAAGATTGCGCGCGGTCCGTGGCCTTTTGTTAGGGTACTGCTCCGGCATTCGCCTGGTGTTGATCGGAGCAACCGCGGAAAACTACACCGATCAGAGCAACCGGCCGCTAGAATTCCCCCCAGACAGCGCCTTAATTCATGACTTCTAGGCTGTCCGGGCCTAGTGAGCGTCTTTATTCGACTTCGCCGAGCAGCTAATGTCAAAAATTCTTCCACCGTCGGGGCTCGACCCCTAGGACCTCCCAGTAAGAGGCACCGCACTGCGATCCGTTGAGCCACCGGAGCCGATCGAAAAGCAACGCAGTGAGCTTGCCTCCTCCTCCCCCCCCCGTCGCGTACGCACTTGCGCGTTCGATTAACGGAAAGGAGCCGCCTGCACACGGCCTCAAGGTCGACTTGTTCCGAATCGCCCGGTGGCTGACCTCGCGCAGTCAGCTGTCACCAATCGCAGCCGCTTCCTCTCTTCACTCGCCTTGCGGGACCCGGCGGACGGGCACTGGCAGATCAGCGCAGAAACGGCATTTTCAGATTTTTTAAATTTTTTATATTTTGACCCAAACTGTTTGATTGGTTGGTTGATTGGTGATTCCGAGTACATCAACTGCGAAGGTCATTCTACCAGTAAGTGTAGTGTATGTTCTATTGCGGAAGATAGTGATGCTAATCCCCTACTGATGGCGAGATTCGGCGCGGAGCAGCCCGTCTGCTAACGTGGTTTTCCACAACCAGGTATCGCCCACCAGCAAGGCACCGCTCCAGGAGGTTCAAGCTCTCAGATTCCGAACGGTCTTCTGCTGTGGCAGTGTAGAGACTAGGACAAGGAAGAGGTAAAAAAGATGGTGCGCGGTCCGTGGTCCGTTTGTTAGGGTACTGCTCCGGCATTCGCTTGGTGTTGATCTGAGAAACCACGTAAAACTACCGATCAGAGCAGCCGACAGGTAGAATTCTCCTCCACACAGCGGTGAATTCGGCTTACCTAGCTAGTGTCAATCGTTCTGCCACCGTCGTGAGTATAAACCTAGGACCTCCCGGTTAGAGGCACTGCAGTGACATCAGCTGATGCCTATAGCCACCTCTCTCAGTCAAATCGTTTGAAATACTCTGTTTCAAGTAAGGCCTTATGTAATATCAATCCTACTATATCTGTGATTTAATGTATAGTCAAAACTTAAAACTCTCAAACGTCATTCTATTATTCAAAACTATCAAAGTTAGCTCCGCTTGAACTAACGCCTTCTCTCTTACATTGGGGTACCAGTAGGAGGAACACGACACTTAAAGACAAGACAAACACACAAACGTCCTTGCCCGAGGCGGAATTCTAACCCACGGCCCCTTGAGCCGAGGCAGCTACGGCCCTTCAGCAACTTGTAGCCTTAACCAGGCTGCCTTATTATTTTTTTTCGGTCGCTTTTTAACATTGTGGTCGTACATCGACCACTGTGATTTTTAACCTGTAGGTGGTACTAAAGAGGACACATAAGGACAGAATAAACGCATACAAACATCCATGCCCGAGGCGGGATTCGAACCCGCGACCCTACATCCTTGCTGTTGCGGCTGTTGAGGCCGTCTGTCGGTCGGCCCTGTTGCAAAGCAACTCGCGAAATGTCGGGCTGCGGCGTCGCGGACGGGTAAAAGCGGCCGAAGTGAGGAAATGGCTCGGCAAGTGAAAAGCACGGCGCGCCTGCTCCACGCTCAAACCGGCTGTTCCGTCGGCGTCGCTTCCGGATGCGAGAAAAAGCTGAACGGCGCGCGTGGAGGCAGGGTCTCAGAAAGCTGGCCAAAATGTGCAAACCTTATGGCAATTTAATGAAACTTTCAATACAATGTTGTTTTTTGCGCGCCTTACGATTGCAATGTCAAAATTGCAAAAAAACAACAACAAAAATAAAATGGCGGATTCAATACGACGGATTAATTTTTTTAGAAAAGTCTAAAAATGTTTCAGTTTTCATGAAAATGGGTAAACACAGTTTTATAGATTCGCTGATTACGATTCCAATGTCAAAATTGCAAAAAACAAATATCAGAATCATTATAACGGATTAAAAATTTAAAACGCGTTTGAAATGTTTCGGTTTTCATGAAAAATTGTAAACATGGTTTTATGGGTTCCCTGTTTTCTATTCAAATGTTAACATTGTAAGAAAACAGAATGGTGGATGAAATATGGCGGATTAAAAAATTGAAAAACTTCAAAAGATGTTTTCGCAGGAAATACAGAATAGCAGCTTATCGCAGCTTTTTTCAATAGCTAAATACTAGATGATGTAATGTTTACAAATTTCGTTGTGGAACTCTATGAAACGTATAACTGATTTCCACTTTAAAAGAGGCAAAAACAAATTAATTTTATAATTTTGTTTGAACACTTACTATTAACTAATTACTTTTAACATGTTTTTAAAGAATTTGTAATACATGTAAACGTACTCATAGTCACGATTTTCGTCCATTTTAGATGATGAAAATTGCTAAAATCCGAAAACAGCTGCTCGCTCAACTGCGACGTTTCCAATAATGCATAACGTCACTGTGACGCCTCAAACCTTTTCTAACCTTAGAATCACACACCCTGGGAACCAGGTTACCCAACTGCTTACTAAATCAAATCCTCTAAATAAAATTCTTTAAATTCCCGTTCCCTAAATAAAACCTGTTTTTTGGACTTTTGGCCACCTTTTTGAGATTTTTCCTCAATGTGCTGCGGCGACAGTTCACAGCGCTTCGCTTTGACTCGCCCGTCGCCTGCTTCTCGGAGCCCGCACGCGCTATTCCGAAGTCGATGCATAAGAAAAGGGTTGGCGATAGTCTTCTTTTTACTATGCGCCATTTTGTTTTATCTCTGGCACACCAATCCCGTTCGGTTACCTGGACAACGCCAATGGCAGGGGGGCGGTCTACGGTGGATTCCAAATTGGAGTATAATAATAAATGTTGTTATTTTATTAAAACATGTTATTTAAAGTTGAGTGCATATAATCAATAGATATTTAATCCACTGTGTTATAATAATAATAATAATAATAATAATAATAATAATAATAATAATAATAATAATAATAATTAATACCTTGAATATCATCATCATTCCATCTTCCATTCCCTCAGGACTAGCAAATCGGGGGGATAAAATCGAATTGAGCTTAATGCTGAACTCCCCAAAAAGGAGTCACATGCACTAGCCACAGGATAAATGTTACTGAGCCTCTTTAAGAGGTGAAAGGCTATGAGAAATTGTGGCGGTGTTGCCATGAAGCAATTATGTACGACGCCGGTTTCGATTTTGTTTCTACACATACGATAAGCGTTACAGAACTATCTTTTAAGGTTAAAAAAAGTTTTAATAATGTATGTTATAAACGCTGAAACACCTGCTTACTTAAAATGGAGATGGCTCGTTAAATTAAAACCAATGTTGTTAACGATACATGTAAAATCACACAAGGACGAAAAATGTATCGCTTTTTCTATCCGATATTTCTAATCGCTCCTTCCCACTGGCCAATATTAAGCTGTAACTGATCTGTCTTTGGAGACGGTATACATGGATCGCTATGTCGATGTCCAATCTACAATAACATTACATCTTTGTTTTTAAGATAGTATTCAGTTATTTAATATTTGGCGCATTTTGCAACTTTGGTGGACAAAATTTCATTCGTGAAATAGTCCTGTATAATACCACTCGTGCTTTGGAAATTCGCAGATAAATTCCCTCCTCGGAAATTTATCGACAATTTCTGAAGCAGTCGCGCCAATGATAAGTAATTAATATAGTGTTTGTAAAGTTGTAGTGAACGTAGACGTTCACGAAGACTTAACAACTGATCTGAACCATGTGTCTAATTTTGAGATAGGTCCTTGGTAAATAACGGTCGGTTTACGACAGTTAATAAACTGCGGGTTTACTGTAGAAAATTATTTCCAATATTATTTAATTAATATTGGTAGTATTCATATATATATTTGTTTAATAAATTTTCGAGATTTTACATTATCCATTTCTAATTTGTCTAGGCACTTTATTCTTATAGCTTTGTGTTGATGAAGTTGATTGAAATTAATGAATTTATTATGCATGCGCTTGATATTTCCTTTAAACATTACTTCACCCTTCGTATAGTTTTGCTGATTCATTGTTAACTCATCTATTTATTTTCCCGTTCTTTCATTTTATTAATTGATTCACGTCTCGAGTTGTTTCCTTCAACGTTCTTCTAACTTAATAATTACATTATCTGATGTTGAGTTTTGTTCACTTTTCTTCTGTATTTTATGCGTTTTTGGCGCATTTCATTGTCTTTTTGGCACAATTAATGCATTTCTCTTTTGTTATATTAATAAAAACTGACTAAGTGTATTAGTAATGTGCGTATTTTTTATTCATTCAATATTTTGCTTAATTCGCAATACGCAATAAATCGCAATCAAAGTGGCCGTATTTGCGCTGTGCAACAGAGATACTGATGTCTTCATTTCATTTAGAAACCAATGTCTATAATATATTTCTGTTTGATTCCAGATGCATCTCTTCTCTTCCTTGGAACAAGATGAATGGACTCCTTCTCTGAGAAACACGCGCTCTACACACAATAGAACATAATATATGAACGATTTAATTGGTTACTGACAACAGAAACAAACGCACATCAACCACAACTAATAACCAAGAAAGTGATATACGTGTCAGTGAATCATTGTGTAGAATAGTCCTTGGTGGTGTTAATTGACAATTTGCTAAATCGCTCGTGGCAATGTAGATGCGCCGTTTTGTTGGGGAAGTGCGTTGAGAGGAGGTGGCGCCCTTCGTCAGAGTTAATCCGCCGTTGATACTAGAAGCGTCAACGAACTGACGGGCAGTGAACGTACGTATAAATCGTGTGCAGCTAAGGCATTCCGTGTGCAGCTGTGCTAAAGTGCTTTGTCCAGCAGCACAAGTGTGCTTCGTCTAGTACCATAAGTGTGCGGTATTTTTTTTTAATGTGCTGTGGTTCGTGACGTGAATCTTTCGCTGTGCTTCGCCCCTTCCCCCCAGTCACAATGAACTCGTACATGCAGCAGCTAGCCAACGACATCGGGCTGTCGCCCAGCCTGTCTTTGGACGACGTGGACGACCTGACGCTGCCCGACCCGTCCGACATGCTGCTGAGCGCGGGCGGCGATTGCCTCATGGACGACTTCCCGGACTCTCCCGACGGCGTCACGTCCCCGCCCGACTGCCTGCTCGGCGCGGACGTGATGAGCGACCTGTCCGCCTCGCCCAGCATGTCGCTCACGTCCGACATGTCGCTGGAGACGTTCCACCAGCTGGAGGCCAGTCTTGAAGCGCCTGACCCCAACAACAACAACAGCAACGACCCCGGCGGCCCGGGCGAGGAGGGAGCGGACCGGAAAGAGGGCGCGGGGTCGAGAGGGCGCGGGGGCGAGAAGTACTCCCTGCGGCCGCGGGCGTCCAAACGCAGGGCGGAAGTGATGGAGATCGTGCGAGGCCGGCGGAGGACGCCAGCGACCCTGGCGGACGCCGCGGAAGGCAAGGCGAGCGGGCGCGCCGCCGGAGGCCGGCCCAAGCCGCGCCCCCCGCCGCTCAGCAAGTACCGCCGCAAGACGGCCAACGCGCGGGAGAGGGACCGCATGCGGGAGATCAACGCCGCCTTCGAGCTGCTGCGAAGGGCCGTGCCGGTAAGATCATTTGCACTTAGTAATATCGCCTGTCATACATGTCGGGACTATCAAAGTGATGAGATTGCCTAAAATTCCGAACTGTCAAAATGTGGGGACTGTCAAAATGTGGGGACTGTCAAAATGTGGGGACTGTCAAAATGTGGGGACTGACAAAATGTGGGGACTGTCAAAATGTGGCAACTGTCAAAATGTGGCAACTGCCAAATTGTGGGAACTGTCAAAACGTGGGGACTGCAAAAAATGGCGAGACTGTCTTAAATGTCGGAACCGTCAAAAATGTCGGGACAGTAAAAAATGTTGGGGCCGTAAAAAATGTCGAAACTGTCGAAAATGTCGGGATTTTTACACATTTTTCTTTTTAAATGTTTTTTTCTTAAAACGTTAATGTATTTATTTTTATTTCTGGTTACAATCACACGTTCAAACCATTTTAAGTTCAACTAATCACCTAACTTTTCTAGTGATAATGAATCTTTAGTGTTTGTCTCGACAACTTCTCATTTAGGTGTGCAGGTCATTTAATTTTTGGAATAGAAACGCTTGTCTCTGAAGGTCTCTGAACACTTGATTCGGAAATCGGTGGTCTCTGAACACTTGATTGAGAGGTGGGTGCTTGCGTGATTTGTATATATTTCTTACGAATTTCTTTGCAGTACCTGTTAGCTTTCATAATCTATAGATGGCAATGCGTATCTGTGATCCCAATACAAATTTGCTGTAGAGGACAGGTGGTGACTTTCATTTGATATTCAATTTAAAATTGTAAGTTCTTGAAAAGTATATGTTCTTGAAGTTTTTTGAAAAAGCTACTTGCATTGTTAGATTATTGTTTGAAAATGTTTGTAAATTATTGCTAAATTTAGGTTCTAGATTTCTCCATCTTCTGCATTTTTTCTTCTCCATTTTCTGCAATTATTTCTGATTAATCAAATATGTTGCAGACAATTCAACTTGGTTTTTGTTGTTATCAACCTCTGCATACTATCTCCCGGATTTTAATGCGGAATTTAAAAAATATTTTAATAAAAATATAATTTCATTAAAATTTTAATTCAAAACTATTGGTGAGATGTCTGTATGATAGTGCTTGAAGCAGAAAAACTCACATGTGTTTAAATCAGCTTAATTAGATTGCATTATATTCTAATAAATGTTAATACCAAGAGCAGTTAGAAATCAATAAGTAAATACATCATTTTCTGTTGCATTCACTTTGTTTAGCTTTACACAAACTTTTCCAATTTTTCTCTCTTTTTTAACCATGTTTTAGCAACTATGTCGCTGAGTCACAGGACGTGTCCACGGCAAATATCTTAAAGGAAATGTAATTTCCTCTGGGTAATTTTCGTAACATTTTAACACTTCTGTGCAACTCTTTGCGTAATTATCTCCGATGTATGAGTTCCTCTATGTTGGAGTTTCTAACGTATCATTTAAACTCTCGCTGTACATATTCCAGTCGCCAGTAACCGGCATCTCTAATAAAGTACATTAAATATCGTCCACATGTTGTCGAAACATTTTTGAAGACTCCTCTCCGTTAATTTAATGATGTGCTATAATTCCATGTAGTGTAAACCTAATTACTTAATGTTGAACAAAAACCCTATTACTTGATATACCTAATTTTGAATGTTTGAAAAAAATTGTACTGGTAATAATATTAAAATTTACGTTTCAGAATTAAATTTGGTTATTTTGTTCATATCTAAATAAAAATATTTTATGAATAATAAATAGAAAATTTAAGTTTTAAAATTTCGCATAAAAATGGTAATTAATAAAATCGGTTCAGTAAGGTTACGGAACTGGTTAAACCTGAAAGCATACGTTTTGAATTATCAAACTAATATTTCAACTGCCATTGTGTATGTTGTTTATCTAGTTTCATCGCAAAATTGTAACGTATTATTTTACAATGATTGATGACTCTTTGATTGGTTGGTTGATTGATTGTTAGGTGTGGTGGCCAACTCCCAGCAGAAATATAATAATTGAGAGCTGCATGTTTCATTTATGAGAAGATGATTATCGAAAGAAAAAAAACCGAAACTGTTAATTTTAATCGCAAAAGTAAATGAAGATGGCGTGACCCACTGACCTAGAAAGAAATTGTAGAACTTACAGAACTCTGTTAAATATTCTGAACGAGGTAAAACCGTTTTTACATCTCTTCTACATTGCAATCATTTGGAGTCATTTAAATTCAGAGTAAAGCAGTGTAAATTTCTTTCCATCGAAAATGGATGCAAATGGCCACAACGTGAATCGACTAGCGAATCAAGATACTGGAGCTGTAACCATTCCCTGTTGAACGCTTGCACAAGTGACCTAGTGACTGTCTCATTCACTGTGACTCGTTCATTTAGTGTACGAACGTTGCAAGTTTACGAAATATTTACAGTAATCGAGTACATGACTTTAGACAGTGAAGTAAAACACGTTTTGAAGTTTAATTTCGAACAGTTTATCTTTGGATCAATTGATTTGACAGGGAAGTATCGTTTAATTATTAATCAATAAACCAATCTTCTTTTCTGCATACATTTATGAAGAAAAAAATAAATTGTTTCCTTTAAATAAAAAAGGAAAGTAAGTTTTTTTACCATTGACTTAGTGAGTTTTTTACCGCCCTTCTGTTTTTGAACCAATCAACTGATAATCGATAAATTCAATTACCTTTTTTCCGCCTTGTGTTACTAAAATTACTAAAAAAGCAGATAGATGGCCTTAAAACATGAAAATTGCAAGACACGATTTTCGGAATCAAAATATCCTTTCTTTGTTTAACACAGAACATTAGTAATAGACAACTGCCAGTATGCAATATGAGAACCAGACACCTAGGAAATATTTTTGGAAGCAATTACCTAACTCTAATTATTGGGTGTACTTTATTATTTTTCAAAATAATATCGATATTTTAAAAATAGTAACGTTTAAATTCATTTAACTTCTAAAATGAACGCTTTTATTGAGGACGGAAGGAAGAGCTAACGAACATCCATTAGAATGGGTTAGTTTAGAAATGGATATTCGAATTACTGAGAATGAATTCGCTCTTTTCATAGAGCGGCGTCGTAAAATAGCTCATAAACGTTCAAAATATATGACACGTTTTACGTGAATGGGTAAGCACGTACGTCATTGACTGGCTGTGATATCTCTGCGGAATCATCGTCAATTCAGCAGCTTAGTATCTGGGAGGTCCTAGGGCTTAAGCGGTATTTCGTTTATAACTACACAGCTTGGACGACTTCAATCGGTGTCTCGAAGAAAATTCTAGCAGTAGGCTGTTCTGATCGGTGATGATGAGTTTTTCGTGGTTTCTCCGGTCAACACTAGGTGAATGCCGAAGCAGTACCCTAACAAACGGGTTACGGCGCGATCTTTCCTTCCTCTTCCTTGCCCTATCCACACCTCGTACACACGAACACTTACACTAACACGCACCACAGTACCACACATGCCAAGAGATCAGTCGGAAGCGTAGAGCTTGTCCTCTTGGGGTGGTGCCCCTCTGGTGGGAGATACCTGGTTGTGGGAAACCCCGGAAGCCGACAGTAAGTCAGTGCCAGATCTCGCCATCCAGCGGGGAGAGATCACCGGAGGAGAAACGTGCACTACATTAACGGGAGTTGGCACATAGGGAGTCACTACCATTCAATCAATCCGCTATAAAACATGCATAATAGTTAATGATGGGACTATGCTGTTGATGTGCATGGAATCACTAACACCCAGCCAAGCAACCAAGCGTTGTACAGGTGTGTGTCTGTGTGCGCAGGTGGCGGCAGCGTCGACCCCCGCCTGCTACTCCCCGGCAGGCTCCCCGTCCCCATGCTCGGGGCGAGGGCCCGCCGACAGCGCGGCCGGCGGCGGCGGCGAGAAGCTCACCAAGATCACCACGCTGCGCCTGGCCATGCGGTACATCGCGGCGCTCAGCCAGCTGCTGCAGTCCACCGCCCCTCCCGACCAATCGCACGCTCAGCACCAGGCCGCCGCCGCCGCCGCCGCCGCCTACCAGCTGCCCTCCGTGCAGACGGCCTCCCAGATGCAAGGGTACGGTTTGGCCCCATGACACAGGAAGGACCCGCGACGCCTCCCGGCCAACGCGTCCGTGTGTGGATAGATC